CGTGCCACATTAGCATCTTCCTGTCAAAGTCTGCCACACAGAGTCATGAACTAATATTTTCCCCCCAAAAGTTTTCTTTTTGTTTGCGCTCAAACTCTCTGTCTTTCCTCTCTCTCTCTCTCTCTCTCCTCTCTTCTCTCTCTCTCTCTCTCTCTCTCTCTCTCTCTCTCTCTTCTCTCTCTCTCTCCTCCTCTCTCTCTCTCTCTCTCTCTCTCTCTCTCTCTCTCTCTCTCTCTCTCTCTCTCTCTCTCTCTCTCTCTCTCTCTCTCTCTCTCTCTCTTCTCTCTCTCTTATATATTTATCTATATATCTCTCTCTCTTCCTCCCTTTCCCTCTCTGTACTTCTCTCTCTCTCTCTCTCTCTTCTCTCTCTCTCTCTCTCTCTCTCTCTCTCTCTCTCTCTCTCTCTCTCTCTCTCTCTCTCTCTCTCATTCTCTCTCCCTTTATCTCTCTCTATCTCCCTCTCCTTCTTCCTTTCCCATTCCCTGCTTCTGTACTCTCTCTCTCTCTCTCTCTCTCTCTCTCTCTCTCTCTCTCTCTCTCTCTCTCTCTCTCTCTCTCTCTCTCTCTTCTCTCTCTCTCTCTCTCCCCCCCCCCCCTCTCTCTCTCTCTCTCTCTCTCATTCACCCACAGAGATACGATCACAAAATATGCATCAAATTCCGCTCATTATACCTCATTCACGCCCATAGTGTTAATTCCTGTTCGTTGATTCCCAATTACATGTTCACAGTTCAAGCTCTGGTCATGAACATGTTAACTGCACAAACATGTATTTTATATTTGATGAGATCAGGGCTATTTTTAGATTGTTATTTCCAGGTTATGTATTGGTTTGTGTTTCCGTAATATATTGTTTGTTTATTTATTTTTTGTTTTTGTTTATTTATTTATTTATTTTTGTAATAAGATAGGGAAAGTAAATAAATATGTAAATTGGATGGGATTGTGAGTTATGAAAGATTGTTAAATATTATATAAGCAGTAATATTTAAATAACCTCGTATTGTTGTAAAAACTTTAAGAAAAAAAAAACGATATTCCTTATCAAAATTCCCCGTGCTCCCTCTCGACCCCAATCCAAAGAAGAGAAGAAGAGAAGAAGAATAAGAAGTACAAGTAAAAAAGAAAAAAAGAAAAAGAAAGAAAAGAAAGTATATATAATAATATATAATAATAATATATAATATATATATATATATATATATAAATATATATATATATATATATATATATATATAATATATATATATATATAATATATATATATATATATATATATATATATATATATATATATATATATATATATATATATATATATATATATATATATATATATATGATAATAATGCCAATAATAAAAAGAAAACGAGAATGAAGCAAGTCTCATTCTTTTGAGGAGGAAACCGCGTATTTTCCTCTTTTCTTTTCTCTTCTTTTTTTTCTTTTTTTTTTTTTTTTTCTTTTTCACACAAAGTCTAATGAGAAGTGCAAGATTACCTCCACACACAGAGCGAATCCGACCAAAATCACGTGGGGTGGGGGTGGGGGGAAGGGGGGGAGAAGGGGGTTTAGCTGATGAGAAATTCCCCTCAAATCTCTCCCTCCCCCCCCCCCCACCCCCCTCAGATTCCCCTCTTCATACCTGAGAAATGACAAATGGGAACGCGCTCTCGTTACAAGACGTTCTTCAAATCACACATGTCGGCTACTCGAAGAAAAAAAAAAAAAAAAAAAAAAAATTAAAAAATAATATAATTTTGCTTGAAAAAATGTGGGGGGGGGTGGGGTGGTGGGGGGAAGGGTGGGGGTAGGGGTGAGGAAGGTATTTTTAGTGTGATTAAATTAAGGTGGGGTGCAGGTTTTTCTTTGGTGGGGAGGGGGTGGGGGAAGGGTGAGGGGAAGGGAGTGGGGAAGGGGGGAGGTGTAGGGTGAGGGAAGGAGGGGGGGGAGGAGTGAGACTCGTTCATCCGCGCTTCATCAGAGTATAGTGAAGTGGGGTTTAATCCTTCTTATGCTTTTTTGTTATTCATCATCATCATCATCATTGTCTTGAATATTGCCACCAATCATCATTATTATTATCCTATGTCATCATCATCATTCTCATTTATCATAGTCATCATATTACTATTATTATCATATTATCATATCATCATCATCATCATCATCACATTATCATCACCATCATCATCCTATCATCATTAACCCATCTCCTTATCAGCCTATAAACCTCCATCTATTTACCTATACTGATAGACAGATAGATAAAAAAAAAATCAAGAAGGAAAATGGAAGAAAGCATCACAGTATTTAAGCAAGAATACTCGACGAAAAATATTTAAAACATTTCTGTTCCAATGTTTTTGAAATCTAGTTTTTATTCTCTAGTGTGAACAAAAAGGCGGTTTCCACTGAGTATCTTTAGTTTCTGGTTGAACAATTTATCATTTCTTATCTAACTTTATTAATTGATTTATCATTATTATTGTTATTATTATTATTATCATCATGGTCTTTATCATTATTACTATTATTATCATTATCATTATAACTATTATCATAA